GGTCTCGCCTGCCCAGGCGGGTCTCGAACCCATGGGCTCAGGCAGTCCACTCACCTCAGCCTCCCAAAGGTGCGGATTACAGGCTGAGCCACCGAGCCTGGCTCATTTTAACTCAATTTTAGGAGACTAAAATATAACTAGTTTTTACTAAAATAAGGTTTAGAAAAGTTTTGAGTCTTTAGAAAGCAGTTTGATAGTATTTAACTAAGTGTTGTTACAGCCGGGTGCAGTGGCTCATGTCTGTAATCCCAGTACTTTGGGAGGCTGAGGCAGAAGGATCACTTGTGGCCAGGAGTTTAAGACCAGCTAAGGCAACAAAGGGAGACCTTGACTCTACGAACAACAGAAAAATTAGCCAGGCATCGTGGTGGGCGCCTATAGTCCCAGCTACTCAGGAGGCTGAGGTGGAAGGATTACCTGAGCCCAGGAGGTGCAGGCTGTGGTAAGCCACTGCACTCCAGCCTGGGTGACAGAGTCTTAGATGTGTAGAGCACTTTCCGGCTTACTGGGCACATTCTCACATGTTCTCCTGAGCTCCTCACAACCTAACAGATGGGCAGGACTGTATCATTAATCCATTCATTAGGCAGGGGAGGAAGCAGGCTATGAGATGCATTGACTCAAAAAATGTGCATGTTACAGACTAACTCAGTTATTTTTGTTTGTTTGTTTGAGTTGGAGTCTCACTTTGTCACCCAGGCTGAAAGGCAGTGGCACACTCATGGCTATCACAGCCTCGACCTACTGGGCTCAGGTGATCCTTCTGCCTCAGTCTTCCAAGTAGCTGGAATCACAGTCTGCCTCAGTCTTCCAAGTAGTTGGAATCACAGGCATGTTTCACCATGCCCAGCTAATTTCCTATTTATTGTCAAAACGAGGTCTTACCAAGTTGCCCAGGCTGGTCTCAAACCCTGGGCTCAGGCTATCTTCTCGCCTCAGCCTCCCAAAGTGCTGGGATGACAGATGTGAGCTACTACACCTGGCTAATTCTTTTTTTATTTTTTATAGTGATGGGGTCTGGCTATGGTGTTCAGGCTGGTCTTGAACTCCTGGCTTCAAGCGATCCTCCTGTCTCCATTTCCCAAAGTGCTGGGATGACAGCCACTACACCTGGCTTAACTCAGTTATTTATTATTATTATTTTTTAGATTGCAAACATTTTATTTGCCCTTTCTTTTCTTTCTTTTTTTTTTAATCGCCCAAATGAATACGCCCGCCACCAAAAGACAAAACAAACAAGATTTTTTTTTTTTTTTTACAGTGGTGATGGGCAGTGTGGAGAGGAATCAGGCCTTTGCTCTCCCTCCTCTGTATGATTTTCCCGTGTTTTTCCTGGAACCCAAAGCTGTTGCTTCGAGAAACTTACACAATTAGTAAGGCGGGTAGCAGAAAGCATGCTGGGAAGCGGGAAGATTCTAGAACGGAAGGGCAGCCTGTAGAGAGCTAGGTGCCAGATCAGGACCGTGGCGGGTAGGAGGTTGATTTCCCCCAGACTGGCAGACCCCTGCTCCCGGAAGCCCATGGCCCGCCAGGTGCCCAGGGCCAGGAGGTCACTGCCTACTTCCCCAGAGACCGACCCAGGAAGCTCCCGAGCCATCGGTGCTGAGGCCTCACACCAACAGGGACCTCTTGCAATGACCGAAATAAGAAATTCAAGAAATGAAAAAAGATGTACTGGGGTGAGGGGCAGTGGTGCGGGAGTGGCCGGGAGGCCCGGGGCACATCCTGGAGGCCATTGGGGAGTGGAGGACACGCTCAGGCCTAACTCAGTTATTTTTAAACTATACATACCTTTGTTTCTGCCAATCAGTTTGGCAAACAACTTGAGTAGCAAAATGATGAAAACAAAGCCCAGAATTTTAAAGAAATAGACATGTGTTTACAGGCATTCTATTAAAAACCTAAGTCAAATCTGTGGGTTGGCTACTGCTGGTTAAGGACCGGTCTTATTCACAGCTGATATTTGAGAAAACGTTAAAGAAACACATTAGGAAAAAAGACTGATTCCTATGGACACTGACACCTACTCAAGACCATCTTTCTGGGATAGCCCTAAGTAAAAAGAAGAAAGAGTAGCATGAAGCCAGTCAGGGTACATCAGATGAGCAACACTAACTTCAAATCACTCCTGTGTACAACCTTCCCCTTTACTCAGTTGCAAACTCAGAGATCAGAGACAAGAGCTTGCCAGTCTCTGAGTTTCCCACATGTTGTGACAGGACTAAATGGTGTTCCCTGAGATTTGGGGAATGGCAGTGGGAGTGTTTGCAAATGGAGCCCCTGGGCTGGGGCCCAGGAAAGCAATCAGAGAATCGCCTCACTCACCTACTAACGATCATTGCATCTCATAGCCTGCTTTCTCCTTTGTCTAATGAACTGGATTAATGATACCAGCCTTGCCTGTCTAACAGGACTCTCATGAGGGGCTCATAAGAACATGTGAGGATGTGCCTGGTAAACCAGAGAGTGCTTTACAAATGCTGCTGTTATAACAACATCATATATCCCATAGTTCACTGTAGTAGCTTTCTAAAGGTCTTCTGTGCCCCTGTCAACCCAACACAATCTAATCTCTACAGAGTAACCAAAGTGATAATTAAATGCAGCAATCAGATCTGTTCACTCCCTGGCCAAAAACCGTCCTACGGCTTCCATTACACTTAAAATCCAAACTCAGTATCCACCCAAAGGAATGGAAGTCATTATACAAAAAAGATACCTGCACCCACATGTTCATTGCAGTACAGTTCACAACTGCAAAGACATGGAATCAAACTAAATGCCCATAACATGATCAGTCATAAAAAAGAATGAAATAATGCCTTTGGCAGCAACTTGGATAGAATTGGAGAACATCATCTAAGAGAGCTAGTGCAGGAACAGAAAGCCAAATATCGCATGTTCTCACTTACAAGTAGGGGCTCAGCCGGGCTCGGTGGCTCAGCCTGTAATCCTGCGCCTTGGGAGGCTGAGGTGAGTGGATTGCCTGAGCCTGGGGGTTCGAGACCTGCCTGGGCAACTTGATTAGACCTCATCTCTACAATAAATCAAAAAATCAGCCCGGCGTGGTAGCGCACGCCTGTAATTCCAGCTACTTGGAAGGCTGAGGCGGAAGGATTGCCGGAGCCCAGGAGGTCGAGGCTGCGGTGGCCAGGAGCAGCCACTGCACTCCAGTCTGGGCGACAGAGTGAGACTCCGACTCAAAAAAACAAAAAACAAACAAACAAAAAAAACAAGTAGGAGCTCAATTAAGGATCTGCAAAGACATAGAGAATGGGATAATGGACACTGGAGACCCAGAAAGGGGAGGAGGGAGGGATGATCTATCTATCATTTTTGGGGTACAATGTGCACAGGTGGGGAAAGTGGGCACACTTAAAGCCCAGACTTCTTTGCCACTATCCATGTAAACAAAAACTATTTGTACCCAGTAAAGCTATTGAAATAAAAACATTTCAAAAAATAAAAATAATAAAAATGGAAAATAAGTAAATAAATAATCCAAACTCAGGCTGGGCATAGTGGCTCACACCTATAATCCCAGTACTTTGGGAGGCCAAAGTGGGATGACTGCTTGAGGCCATGAGTTCAAGACCAGCCCGGGCCCCATCTCTACAAAAAAATAAAAAATAAAAATCCAAATCTTCATCATAACTGTTCCCATGGCCCCCACCTTCTCTTCACCTCTAAGGTCACCACTCCCTCACTCTAGGCTGTGACCTCAGACCTTCCTTTGCTTCTGGAATGCACTGAGTTTACACTCCCCTAGGGCCTTTGCCGTGGCTGGAAGTCCACCATGAATGGTCTCCCCTCAGTTTCTACAGAACTGGCTCCCAGATCACGTGGGTCAGGCCTTCTCTGATGTCCATAGGCGAAACTGCCCCTCCTTCCCTCACTCTATCACATCTTTCTGGTCTGCTCTTTTTGTAGCATTCATCACTCCCTGAAATCACTTTCATTGCTTCCACACATACTCTGTACTTCCTCCATTAGAATGGAAGTCCCTGCCACATCGTAGGTGTCTGCCATGTAGTAGGTGTTCCATAAGTTATGTTGCTGAGCGAAGGAAGTGCGTGGATGGAATCTACAGAGAAAATGTGCAGGAGTTTGTTTTGATTACCTCGTTCATCACCAGAAACTGTAAACTTGTGTGGGCTCTGACCAGTCCACAGTCCCACATAGCCAACAAAAGTGGTTCCTGTGAACGCAATCTGAAATCAAGAAATGTGAGGTGTTATTTCACCATTCCAACCAAGCACACATTGAAATCACCTGTTTTGCCCTACCGTTTTCTGAATTTTCTTTTTCTTTTAAGTTCCAACATAATAAAATTCTGAAATAGCCTCCTAGAACAGTTCTTAATCTGGAGGGTTAGGTAGAGTCATGGCTAGAATTCAGTGGCCCTGTGGCCCTGGAGGGACACACTAACCTCTATCTGCAATGTGACTCCTATAATGAGTGCATGCAACAAATCATGCAGTGACAGTAGTGCCTGTGATTGTGTCATTAGTAGAAAGCCCAAGTATTTTCCCGTACACAATGGTGGCTACAGGTTTCTTGAAATATTGCTCGCAGTCATCACTACTTTGAAGTCAGGGAAGTTTTTGGATGCACTGCTAAACCTTCCTGTTTAATGTATTATGGAAAAAAAAAAAAAGAAAAGGCCAGGCATGGTGGTTCTTTGGGAGACCAAGGCAAGAGGACTGTCTGAACCCAGGGGTTCGAGACCAGCCTGGGCAACTTGGCGAGACCTTATCTCTACAATAAATAAAAAAAATTAGCTGGGTGTGGTGGCATGCACCTGTGGTTCCAGCTGCTTGGAAGGTTGAAGCAGAAGGATCACCTGAGTACAGCAGGTCGAGGCTGTGGTGGCCGTGAGCGTGCCCCTGCACTCCAGCCTGGACAACAGAGTGAGACTCTGATTCAAAAAAAACAAGCCCCATCCTAGAAGTAGCAGATGGAGTCTGGTTTTATTTATTTGTTTTTTTTAGATTAGAAAATACAGTTTATTTAGAAAGTAAATCAAAGAGAAAGAGAAGAGGAGATTCTACCCCAAGGTAGAGGAGAGGGTCAAAGCCAGAAAACATGGCTACAGAGTCTAGTAAGGCAATGGCCAGAGTCTGATTTTAAAATGTGTTTTGATTTGATTAGAAGAGACAACCATTACATATTTCATAAACTCTGTGAAGTGAGGGGAAACAAGTGGTACTGCTCACCAATAACATCACATTTAAACTTAAAATATCTAAAACATTCTTTTACATGTATCTTTCATTGCATCCTCACAGCTATCCCAGGAGCCCAGGCGTTATAGGGATCACCCCCACTTTAAATTAAGGTAACGAGCTCCAAAGATTCCAAGTCCCTACTATATTGCAAGCAGGAGAAAAATCAAACTCTGTCAATTATTTCTGATACCAAATTTTCTTTCTTTCTTTTTTTTTTCAAGTTGGAGTCTCACTCTGTCATCAGTGCAGTGGCATGGTCACCAGTGCAGTGGCATGGTCACAGCTCAGACAATCCTTCTGTCTCAGTCTCACAAGCAGCTGGGACTACAGGCACGCACCACCACACCAGCTAATTTTTTGATTTTTTTGTAGAGACGACATCTCACTATGTTGCCTAGGCTGGTCTCCAACTCCTGGGCTCAAGAAAATCTCATACCTCAACCTCCCAAAGTGCTGGGATTATATATAGGTGTGAGCATGTGCCCAGCCCTATCAATTATTTCTTTCTTTCTTTTTTTTTTTTGAGTTGGGGTCTCACTGTCGCCCAGACTGGAGTGCAGTGGCCGCTCCCGGCCACCGCAGCCTCAACCTGCTGGCTCTGG